AGGTTAACTTTAAAACTTTTTGAGAGCAAATCGAATAGTCCAGGATTTAGAGATCGGGACCGGGAACCACTGCTCTTAAGCCTAGAACACACACACACAATATTAAGTTAAATAGCAGGGGGTGGGGGGTTGTTTAATACATGTATTCCTATCTACTGCTATAGAAGTTGCAAATATAATTTCCACCAATGCTTATACAAGGGGAAACTTCTATTTTAGAACAAAGAACACTTTCTATTTAATAAAAAAAATTAATTTTTTTTTTTTTTTTTTTAAAGCGTTTCTCATACATACAGCTGAATTTCGTAACATCTGTACACTTTTGTAACATGCCTCAAACTTAATAAAAATTGTTATGCTCTATAAGATGGCTGACATGCAATTTGAGGTTTTAAGCTTTTCCCAAACAGACATGGAACACTTTAAAATTGACAACCTAAATTCTACAAGTTATCTGAAAACTTCTGTTCAACCAGACACAATTATCTTGTTAAGCAGCTTACACAAATAGCCATGTTTATCATAAAATGCACCGTTCCGATGTACTTTAAATACACCCAACGAACCCAGTGACTCCAACTTCAGGCATCCAGCTGTTGCTGGCCTACAAGACACAAATCTCAGCATGCGGTCAATACCGGGCACTGGATTATCGTAAAGAAAAGTTCAAGAGTCATCAGGAGGGCAAATGAACAAAGTCCTAAACGAGGGCTTAAATATGCCACTGGCTGGTGAGTGGAAATTCACACCTGGTATGTGTACCACAAAACGCAACTTCACCAGTGCAGTGCGAAAGCAACAGCTTAGTTAATATATACAACTGTTAATAGTTTTATTAAAAAATAGAGCATGGCAAAGGCAGTTTAAAGTTCTGGAAAGAAAAGTAGAAATCTGCTCACTAGCACTCTCTCAACTAAGGAGAGACCAACTAAAATGAGCAGCTGTATATCTTCCACAAAGTAAGTTCTTTCCTTCTTATGTAAATTGGCATGGATAACAAGATAAGTCAAAATAAGATACTCTGAGCACCAAATCAACTTTAGCTTAAAAGGACATTAACTGTACTCGCATCACATTGAGATGAAGTGGTTTGGGTGACTTTAGTGTCCTTTTCAGCTAAAGTTGGTTTGGTGCAGAGAGTATTCCTCCAAGTTAGTGGTTTGGGTGCAGTGGCCCTTTCCTTTTAAGCCTGCAATATAGATATAACATTGCATTTTTTGTGGTTAAAAAAACATAATATCTCTCTATTGGTCTTCCTACTGGCAGTCACTAGAGACTAGACAAAAACATGGTTTTGCATTCATTTTTTTTCCCTTCTAAATACAGTCAATGCATTAAGAAGAAAAAAAATGATTATATTTATACTCTCTCAATGCCTTGTGTGTGCTCAGATCTAACTGAATTTTGAAGTCAGGTGTTAGA